GCAAATGTTTATATGCTCTCAAACACGGATAATTCCTTTACAAGAGTCTTTTGTTAATAGATTGGGATAGGAATAGTCCACTGAACAGCGTCAACTTTCAGGTTATGACATAACGCAATTCGTTATACCGAATTGGATACTTCGTTTGTATAATAAAACAGGAGTTGATCCTCAAACAAACGCCATAATGCATAGGCTTGGACCGGAACTTCGCTTTGACAACACAAAGGTACCACTTCGATAAGTTTGATAAGCAAATGCTCGCATTCACTTACTTTCCATTCAAAAGAAATTAATCGAAACAAATCATTTGCTCATGTTCTCGTAAAATACGTATATCACTGCCCAATCGTAAGTTGCAAATGCTAATTGGAAATTTAGCGCTTTGGGAATTTTCTGACATCTTTCTCGTTTCAGTCAAAAAAATTGTTGAAAATGGAGTACACTGATCCGCAGGAATCAATAATCGACATGATGTATAGTATGATTGAGCATGGCATGGTGAAACGTACGTCCAAGTTCAAACCACCACCTAATCCATCTAACAAGGTTCGTTGTCGTCGGATTGTAGATCCGCGTTCATCTTCTACAATCATTTAAAACACGGTACTCATCAAAAACCAGCAATCTATTGTATGTTCGTGTATTTCAATGAACTGAAATTAGAATAATTTATCGCGTGTTGTCTTCGAGAGATTCCCAGCTTTTCAGTACCATGGCCGATGTGACTTCTTTTACTGATTAAAGAAGGATGCATCTGGTAACAAAACTATGGGAATCTCAAAGAATATATTGTGGAAATCCTAGAAGCCAATTATCGGAATGAGGAACCTGTAGGAAAATTCGTTTTTTTTGCTATGGGCTACTAAAAATTAGAGAAAACTTCTACATAATTTCAGTTCATTCAATAATCTTTTTTTTCGAATGATATTTGTGCATGTTTGTAAATATGTGTATTGTATTGAAAACTGACTGAATGTATTGTAAATACTATTGATTATTTCATTGTACCTCACACCTGATCATTCTCGCAGGCCCATATCGTATCACTTGTTGTATGATAATTTCGATAGCCACTGTTTATTACTTACTGCTTCACTCATTTTATCGCTTGTCGCGATTAGAACTCAATTGTATGCACTCCAAATTTATACGTTCTTGAATTAAAGTGTCTGAATCATTTGTGTTGAATGGAAAATTTTCTACAGTGATACTGAATAAAAATTTCTTGATTCTTTTCTTTCAAAGCCACACATCACGCT